CATAATGGGGGGGGGAAGAAAGAAAAGGGGGGGAACAAGCGCTTGCCGTTGTCTATTAGGAAAACACACACATATGCAAAAAGGGAAAAAAAAAAAAAAAAAATAATCATCAGAAAAATTCAAAAAAACAATGTGCCTTACAAACTGTTATGCAGTAAGAAATGGAAATCGAATTATAACTGACACTGACAGATTTTGATGAATGTGGTAAATTTCAAGGAAATCTCCTTCATTCGTGGAAGAAGATTTTCTGACTTTAGCCTTAGGAAAAAGGAGGATAGAAAGCATAGAAGCATAAATGTTGTCAATAGAAAATTTACATTTTTCTTTTTTTTTTTTCTCTAACTTAAGGTTCCTGTTTTGTGATGAGAAGTTGTGAACCTATCCCAGTTTAACTAACGTGTAATGAATCACCCTAGTAAGAGATGCTAAAATTTATTCAGCAGTTGATCATTGCTTTATAACTGCAAAAAGTTTTATAGATAAAGGAAGGAAACGCATATGAATAGCGAAAGGTGGTGAATAAACAAGTTCTGAATTAAGCGGGATCTAAACTTAGAGGATTCTGTAGAAACATCAGCCAGTAAGGAATAGGAGAGGAAATATGAAGAAAATTACTTGTTTTGTAATAAATTGGTAATAATTAGTATTTGAAAAATAACAAAGGTTTTGAGATACTTTACTGTGATCGCAAGCTTTTCGTTGCCTAAATCTATTACGCTGTATTAAATTGAGCAGAAAACTCAATTTGGATTTCTTACACATTATTAAAATGCAATTAGAAAAAGGTAGCAATTAAACGGTGCTGAAATTCAGAAGTGAAATGAAAATCAAAGCAGGTAAAATTCATAACAGGCAAGGTACTGTTGCGAAATACCCAGCTGCGGTAAGATAGCATCCCTGCAAAGTAGGGTAAGGGTGGCCAGAAAGTCGCCAGATTTGGCGCGGAAATCGCCCATCTGGCGTCAAAATTGGCGATATGCCATAGGCGGAGTGAGAACATTCTAGAACGCATTCTTAGCGGTTTACTTTGTAAATGTTCTCGAAAGTAGGTTAAAGCTATATATACCCTACCTGTGCGCGGAGAGTGAAGTGTGTTGAGTTCAGAGATTAGTCTGAGAGCGACCAAATCGAATCGGGAGGTATAAGTAGTAAGCGCAGGTACTCGACCGGCGGAAGTGACGTCACAGAAAAGGGATGTGGTCTCCGTCATCTTGGATCACGTTTAGCGAGAAGCTGTATTCACCGTTGTGCTGTGTTGCTGGCGAATAAATTGCGTTTTAATTCTTCATCAAGTGTTGTCGTCAATCGCTTCAAATCCCTGAATCCGTAGAACGCAGCAGTACTATAAATGAGACGGCATCTGCAATTGAGAAACATTATCTTATCTCGCGAATAATGGTTTACAATCTTTATTTTTTGGCTAATTTAGGTGGTAAATTCAAAAACGGGTATTATCATGCGATTTATGTGGTCATTCTTTTGATTCCTATCTATTAATCTATTAACATACAATGCATTTCTGTAGGTTATTTGTATGTCTTATCTTACCCTTATCTTTTTTAGTACTTATATGCTATCTCTTAGCTAGATTGAATTTCTGCGATATGCCCAAACAACTAGCAGTACGTTCTCCCTGTTCCTTGGTGATTCTGAAAATATTAAATGAATTGGTCTTTTGAAAGTGTTTTCTGTGCGTTTCATTGTCTAAATTTTGATATAATACTTAAATCATCTTTCCTGCTAACTAAAAAGATTGAAGGTATTTTCAAGTAGTGAAATCAGAAGTCTTTAAAACCAGCCAGTCTTTTAAAGCAACTTGGATTCATAGTAGTTTATTTGAATAATTTTTCTGGGTAACAAGAAATTTATATATGATTCTCTCAAAATGCGGTGAAATTATTGTAACAGAACTAATTGGCTTGATGGAGAGAAAAATCAGAAACAAAGCCAAAGAAAAACTATTTGAAATTGACAGAAAAATGAGTCAAAATTAGAATCATTAACCAAACTAGAAAGACATAAAAAACTTTAAGGGAATCCAGTTTTCCAATTGAACGCGATTAAAAACCAAATCGGCAGGAGGAGAATTAAAACTAGCAATAACAATATTGTGCGACGGTGGATTTTTAAGCTCCCTCCTTGGCAATGAGAGTTTGGATCTCTTATTTGTATTTGTGTGTTATGAATTATTTTTAGTTTAATTCTGAAAGAATGTAAAATAATTTAATAATTAATAATACCTCAGTACCCTTTCATTATCAAATATGTTGTTAAATGTTTATTCTATGAATTATCAGTAAATAAGAAAGAAGCGTTATTTTTAAAACATTCACTACTAAACTAATTATTCATTACTTTTAATGCGTTGAGTAAAAATAAGTATGCAACAAAGAAGTTGGGAGAATTAATATAGTTTTTATATTTCGGAACTTAGCATTCATTTGAAAACTGAACTAAAATTATTATGATATTATTATGATGATAATTAAAGGTAGCAATCAGAGTTCAGATTTCCACATCAAATAGAGGCGGGAACCCAAATAGTGCCGAAAGTAAACAAAGATGGGCTAAGTCTGAAACCTTTATTCTCGAAGACGTTGTGTTGTTAGTTTGATTACACAAGGCACAAAGGTCTGTGGTTCGTAGCAGAAACGGCACAAGTTCAGATAACTTAAGAGGGCAAGTTTGAGCACGATGATAAACAATCTTTAATGAGTTTACAAAAACTGTGATTCTTAAACCCAAGTTTGAATTATCCCAAGCACTCAAGATGTAACTGACTTCAATCCTTTTAAATCACGAGGTTTGAGCAGATAAAAATTTAAAAGTGAATTTGATGTTTACACCAAATTCCATTGTAAAATTAAGGAAGGCAAATATAGATTATGAACTCTCTTATGAGGAATTTCGACTGAATAGGCTACGTCATTTGACTCGTTGTAAAAATAATTTTCTTTGCCTGAAGATAATAATTTTCCCTACATAAAATCACCTTTGTTATAAACATCTAGTAAAGTATGCATTGAAATTTATAATGTAATTCTGTGATAATTACTACGAGAACACAATGGGTCGCCTTCTGTGGAAGCAATAAGGTTCATTGACATGGATGGATAATGCATCTACTTTCTTTGTGTAGAGTCGTTTTGTGTTCTCACATAGTTTTGAGTTCCTTCGTTTAAGACTCGAATTCTTCAATTGTTTTTATCATTCGCTATTGATATGACATGGAAAATATGAAAGTTCTCAAAAAGAAAATCTGCAAGTTGATATTTTATTTAACCGAAAAGAAGGGTTATTGAAAGAATAGAGTTGGCAAAGCAGCTTTGATTTTTAGCATTTTATTTTCTTTTAAATTTGAAAAGTAATGGGGAGTAATCATTGGTTAGGTTTTCTTAATCTTTTGTGAAGCAACTTGGATAAGAAAACGGTGTCTTTATGTATCATGTAGGCTCATATTGTTTTCTATGCATTTAATCAATATTTCACACATTATTCAAATCATGTCGTAATGTTATGCAATGTGTTATAACGCTGTGCCGTTTTTTAAGAATAAAATTATATATCGGATACAACAACATTTCAACATGAAAACCTCATTTTCGTAGAGTGGTGTGTTGCATTTACAGATTCGCTTCAGATAATGCAGGTGAAACCTTGAATAAATCAGTTTCTGCTATAATATCTTAAATAGCATTGGAAACTTCCAAATAAGTATTAAAAATTCATCCACGCATGATTGAAATCTCAATCAATAGAATTCACAATGAATGGACAAATTCTTTAATAATTCTTTAATAATGCGCCCTTCACTCGCATTAACTGCAGCTTCAGTGAGATATCTGAATCGAAATTATAGCATTTTCGCCCAGCATTCGAAAAGTGCCTGTTGCGGATCCTTTATAGAACATGGCGGTGGATCAGGAGCGTGAAAGGATTCAAATTCATTCCACAAATTCTCATAAGTTGCGATATAGGAATTCAAAGCCCACGTGAGTTTAAAAACTCGCTGAAATGCTCTTGCAGCTAATCTTGCAATACTTAATTGGGAGTAGTTAAATGTAGCATTACCATGCTAAAAGTATTATCGTTATCCGAGTTGTAGTTACTGATAAATGTGTGTAAATGATCCGCTTGTTACGTTAACGTATCCTAAGCTCATTAGGAATACTTAGAGAAATGTGAGAAATACCACATTCGTTCAAGTAAACGCCTCCCAAGCTGTTGCATTTCGCGCCAACCTGTGCTTAACCTTTCTGACACAATGGATCCATTCCTTTGTATAGTATTTCCTCCACATGGCGCATTTCGTTATCAGCATGAGTTTGAGCCTTTACTCATCTGATCAAATAATACATTTCCAATCCTCTACGGTCCAATGGCGATGAGATTTTGAAAATTGCGTCTTCAAAACTCTTATGTCTTGCATTTAGCAACAGGAAGTGATATGAACTCAGAAGAAGCGCATTTCCATTAAAATCTTAAATTGCCCAAATGTCATCCTGCTCTGAATTCATATGCAGCTAAATCTCTGCCCTCCACTCACTTCGAGTATTCTCTTCTGTTTCCTACTACAATCTTTGCGAACACAGGTTTTAACCATATTATTGGATACTTTTGCTACGGTATTACGAGAAATGCCCAAAAGTCTGGTCCTTGCTGAAGTGGAACATGCAAGCTTCCCGAGGTCTTGCTATTCGCCAGCTGTGATCCATGGAGGGTGTCTCTTACGTGTCAGCAGAAGCTCCGATCTTATATCCAATTTTTTAAAATAATTATCTCTCTGCTAGCCATTGATTGAGCACATTCTAGCTCGTTTAGACATTCCCACTAAAGCTATGTGTAATAATTTATCTTTTCAGTGTAATTAAAATGTGTTGTATTAAAGACACCTAAAATAATTAATATGATAAATATTTATAATAATGTTAATCTAGGTATTTCAATTATCAATCTCTTTATTTTTACCATTTGCTCCATCTCTGTCTTATGTTTAGTACTATGCTCCCCAGCCAACAGATCAATACACCCAGGCTATGAGGCAACATCTGGCAACCTACCCAGAAGCTGTCGACAATGTTGCCTATGTCGAGAGGTATATCAGACAAAATTACAAGCCGTCGCCACATGGTCTAACGGTCGATTTACCATCACCAGATTCTGGAATTGGGGAATCGACGGTGACTCCCAGAGATTCCTTGCATCAGGTTAGTAAACTCTTCTAAAATATAACTCTTATTTTACATATCTTGGTTTATTTAATTTATCAAAATCCTTGGAAACTAGCGAAGATTTTTCTTCAGTCAGGAACTACAGGGTGTTTCGAAACTCATGGGCGAAAATTTACATGAAAGTCACATGAAAGAACGAAACACCAAACGGATAGAGGCAGTGCTAAGTAATATTATTGATAGCATATGTGGCAAAATTACAGAAGCTGCTCAAAAGAGCGACCCCCGTGCGATAATGCAGGCGTTCGCAATTTTTCAAACACATCTGGCTTTTCCCGGACGGCGCCGGCAGCAACAGAGATCGTGGCAATTAAATCCTCATCGGAGTCGATGGGGTTTTCGTAGACGAGACTTTTCAAAATGGCCCCACAGGAAAGTCCCGACAGGGCAGATCAGGTGAGCGAGGCGGCCAAGCTATGTGTCCACCCTGACCAATCCGTCGCATAGAAATTTAGCGCCTAACGCGCTCCGCACATCCAAGCTGAAATAGGGTGAGGCTCCGTCGTGCTGGAAACACGTTGGAGTAACTCTGGCAGTACCTGTTGTACAAATGTGAGGTATATTCTGCCGTCCAATCGGAATGACAGAAGGTATGGGCCGATCAAACGGTGGTCATCTACAGTTCCACCTCAAACTTTTACGCTGAAATGCTTTTGATACGCATGAGGACGTGGGTCATGCGGATTGCTAGATGCCCACACATGCTTATTGCATAGTTGCCAACTCTCCCGATTTAGGCGGGAGACTCCCGATTTTCGACCGCTCTCCCGCCAACCCGATTTACAATATATTTCTCCCGACTTTTTCTTATTCTTAATATTTCTCACGATTTTTATGGAACTTGGCTTAATACTTCGTTATATGAACCAAAAAAAAAAAAAAAAGAATTTTGGAACTGAATTTTCTCTACATTATATCTAAAATAAAACCTTGCGAATCAGATGAGAATTTCTGCTTTGTGAGTGACAGCATACGTATCCAGAAACGTCATTCTCCAGTTCTCCAATGGGCATCGAGCTCCACTGCGTGTCATCTGGCATATATTAGCCAATGAGCACAAAGCAAGCTCAATGCCGTTGCAAAGAAGATTCTTTGGCCGTTGGGCCGTTATTTGGATGTTCTTTCGTTATTTCGTTCATCTTGTCCTGAGTTGTGTGAGTACACGTGCCTTTGGGAAATAGTTTTAGAAATTATCGTCTTTTGTTATGTCTGCGAGAAAGGTGAAATACTCGTGCACGTTTCAAAAATCGTACACAGTTGACTTTCCTTCCATTATTTCTTCAAGGAAATGTAATAAATTTGCGATGTGTACCATCTGTCGTTGCGATTTTTCGATTTCGCATGGTGGAAGGGCAGATGTTCTCAGACATGTGCGTACACAAAAACACAAGGACAACATGAGTTGTTTTAAAAAAAAATGAAAAATTAAATTTTTCTTCGGAAACAAAAGACCAAAAAGTGATTAATGCAGAATGTCTGTTCTCTGCCTTTTTACTGGAGCACAACCTGCCACTGAATGCATCGAATCACGCTGCAGCTTTATTTAGAAAAATGTTTCCCGATAGTGAAATCGCTAAGAAATACTCAAGTGCAAGGACCAAAACAGGTGCAATTGTTAAAGAAAATGGGTTTGAAAAATAAATCTTCAGTTATTGATTGCATTAAAACAGCTCCGTTCTGCCTCTCTACGGATGGAAGCAATAATACCGATTCAAAACTGTATCCAATTTTGTTTCTTTTTTTAAACCAGAGTCTTCAGAAATTGAGTGCAGTTTACTTTCTGTCCCCACTTTAGAAGGACATTCGACAGGCTTTAATATAGCACAGCTAATTATTAAAAACTTTAAAAGAAAATGCAGTCCCTCTGGATAATTGCTTAGCACTTGGTGCCGATAATGCACCAGTAATGGTAGGCTTGAAGACTGGTGTTGCAGGCATCTTAAGAAAGGCAAATTCAGATTTGCAGATAATGAGGTGCACCTGTCACCTCTTAAATTTAGCATCTGAAAAAGGGGCAGCTTCTTACCATTAAATGTGGATGAACACATTGTTGATATTTATTATCTCTTGAAAGAAGTTCTAAAAGAAGGAAAAAATTGAAACAGTTCCAACAGCTGCATAATACTGAAATAAGAAAAATTTTGAAACGTGTGTAGACGCTGGCTGTCTTTAAAGAAATGCTTATCTAGAATCCTCGATCAATGGAACCCACTTCTTGCATTTTTTAAAGAAGAAGTAAATGCTTCGAGAGTTAAGATAAAAGGCTCTATTGAAAGTTATAAAGTACCTAAAGTAAATGGAGATGTAGTTACTACTTCCATTGTTAAAAATAGGTTTGAGAAAAATAAAGTAATTTCTGCATCATTCAGCAATTCAACTGGCAGTTCTCAAAATAATACTGCAAAATATAAGCGTAAAGCTGATACAAATTTCTCTCAAAATAAAAAAATTGCTCAACACAACATTTTCCGATTACTGTAAGTTTATCTTGTGAAGAACGAATATTTATGTTTTTTTCTTCGGACCTTAACAAAGCTTTTTGCTTTTTTTTACAATTCATTTTGCCATCATTCGATGTTCTTAACGCAATTCTACAAAGCAGAATTCCATTAATTCATGTTTTGCAATCAATGATTTATGATCTGTTTAAAGACATTTTATCAAAGTTTGTAAAACCAGTCTGTGTTTTGTCTTGTAATTCTATATATGATGTGATTTATGGTGAAACAGAAAATCAGAAGAAAGATGAAGATTTGGTAATAGGAGCTGCAACTACAAAAGTAGTGGAAGAACTTTCAGAAGAAGACAAAAATAAGTTTATCTTCATGTTAGAAGTTACTTCTGTCGAGTATATGATTACATACTACATAAATTCCCAGTCAACGATGAACTGATTTTGCATGCTAAAGTTGCTGATGTTTCTGCTCTAGCAAATGCATCTTTTTCTGATATAAAGTACTTTTTGAACAGATTTCCTGTGTTACTTCGTTTAGTCATGAAAGATGACGATAGTGATGTTGCTACTGATATACTGCAGTCGCAATTTTGCAGTTTACAATTAGAAAACTTGGATGAAGTTATAAAATCAGCTAGGATTGACACCCAGTGGAGTTTAATTGGAAAATTGAAAGGTGCTGATGGAATTTTAAAATATAGTGAACTCTCTAGAATTATGTTGGCCATCTTGACAGTTCCCCATAGTAATGCGGAGTGTGAGAGGATTTTCAGTGTTGTTGCGAAAACGAGGACTAAATTTAGATCTAATATTAGTGATGACACATTAGAAAAACTTTTATTAGCGAAAGCAGGCCTACGTGGCAATTGCTATGAACAAAATTATGAAGTTTCTTTCTTAACGAAAGCAAAATCTGCCACTGTCCATAACATTTGTATGAAAACTGATTAAAGTGTCTTTTTTTTTTTTTTTTTTTTTTTTTTTTTTTTTTTTAAACGATGCAAGTAATAAAAATGTTTTTTATGTCTAAGGTATTTTTGTTTTGCTTGCATTTAAGACTTAGTAACTATTTAAAGTTAATTCATCATTAAAAACTATATTTTTATCATTTAAAAAGTATTTTTAACATTGTGAAAAATCTCCTGATTTCTTAAAAAAATCTCCTGATTTTTGAGTGTCATAGGTTGGAAAGTATGTTATTGGAAAGGCCTTCACGAGTAAAGGTGCAGCCATCCGTGAATAACACATATGCACTGAAATTAGACAGCGCTCCTAGATGTTGCAAAAGGCAACACGAAAACTCGACACGTGGAGCATACTCTGCGGGTATGAAGGCTTGCAATTTCTGTATATGGGTAGAGGTGTAATCCTTCGTCCCATAGGTACTTGCCAAACAATTGAGTGGGGCACATTTACGGCACGAAAAGCCTCTCACGTGTTAATATCCAGACGATCTTCCACTCTTTACAGAATGTCGTCTACAACTTACAATGTTCGCACACTCCTCCTGTGGCCTGTATGCCGATGCATGCCGATGACAAAAGGATCCCGTTTCACACACGCACCGATGTAATTGCTCGAACATTTTCCGGTTTGGCACGTGTCTTCTCGGAGAACGCTGCCTGTACAGTCTTACAGCTTCCAGACCATCCCCATTCGCAAGATCATACATAAGATGCATGTCCGCCTTTTCCTGATTACTGTACGTTGACAAGCCTTCTGAAATTCACGCTAGAAATGACCGATGTGCAAGAAAACTCGCTCTTTATGCTTTACATTACATCGCCGTCTAGCGGTTCACCTCTTGGTCTCTGGCCATGCATGGTATTGTGCAAATTGTTTGTTTAGATATTTTCTATCATCCCTTAAAACTTTTGCCCATGAGTTTCGAAACATCCTGTATAACCATGATTATCGAATCATCAGTGGCGTCAGATGCTTTGTCAATTTATGCTATCAAAGCTGTTGATAGTTTTTGCCTTTTTGTTCTTCCTCTTAGCTCTTCTTTACATAATGCGGTTTTCAAAGATTAGATGCAGTCCTCTAGGCTATTTCCACTCTTTGACTTAAATACCTTTTAATGTCGCAGTCATGAGTTACAAGCATTCTTTTGAATTTAATCATAACTTGATTAATCAATATATGTATAAATGAGCGTCATTTACATTTTGAGTAAGCACTGACTTAAGTTATGCGGTCTGCCATATATATATATATATTCACTTCTGCACAATTGTATGCTTAGAGGCGGAGCTTAGAAACCTGCACCTTCATATACGAGTACATCCTACGTCAATGAACTGGCCCGAGGATAATCTTAGTTAATGTCCGTTTATATCATGAAGAGTTCATAGGTCAGACAAGTAATGGAAGACACGCGCTCAGAAGGTAAAGATTGCTAACCGACAGCTCAAAAGACTAGAAAGTTCATTATTTGTAATCATCTTCATTACGTCTCTGACTTCAGAAGACCGGAAATGCTGCAATGTTTAAAAATGCATGTTTTTGAAATAAAGATTGC